GGATGGATGGATGGATGGATGGATGGATGGATGGATGGATGGATGGAAGGATGGATGGATGGATGGATGGATGGATGGATGGATGGATGGATGGATGGATGGATGGATTTGTTTTTAATAAATGACAGAACTGAACAGATAGAACTGAAAGATTGACTAGTTTTTTTTGTGTAAAATAAACATTACAAAAAGTATTTTTACGCAGTTTATTAAGGTGGTTGATTTTTTTTTTCCCCGAAGGACCATTAACTGTGAAAAAGTTAAATAAACTTCCATGGGTCAATACTATGTAATAATATTATTGTTTAAACCACTCAGAGGAGCTTATTTGAAGGTTATTGTTGTTTTACTGATTCATTCTCAGTACAATGCAAATTAGGAAACTTACAGGCACTTTAGGCACATTCCTACAAGTTTTATACTTACATTTATTACAACACATTTACAGATCTCAGTGAACGCTTTAAAACTATACATACACTGTTAAATTTTGACAGATGCTGTTAAGTGTAAAATGTTCTTTACTTATTTACAGTTGTTTCATAAAGCCCTTATAATTCTGGAAAGTATTTAATTTTTTACAGGTTTTTTGCTAAGTCTAAATTTTGTCCCTCACAATATTTGCAACATTAACAACAATGTTTTGAACCAAAGTAAAGTGACCATCAGGATTTATTTAAATCAAAATCAGCTGAATCTTTTTGCCATCTCATCCTGCAGGTGCCTACCCTCGGCTGTCTTTGAGCTTCAAGCTGAAGCGAAATATCGGATACTTCATCCTGCAGACATACATGCCCTCCATCCTCATCACCATTCTGTCCTGGGTGTCATTCTGGATAAATTATGATGCTTCTGCTGCCAGAGTTGCATTAGGTATGCTGCTTTCTTTTCTCTGAATCCAAACAATTCACTTGTTGCAGAAAAAGTGCTGTTAAAAATATTAAAAATGTGTTGGTTCCTATCAGCGTGTTTGAAGCTGCGGCCTTGCTGTGTAATAAAATGCCTAACTGGATCATAGACTCACACTTTCCACTGGCTTCTGAGTCTGAAACTAATGGTTTATTCAATCATAGACATCCATTCTGTAATATTTAACCCAGTAAATGGACATTTTTCTGAAAGCTTATAGTTCTTGTGTCATGTTGTAAATGTTTAAGCTCAATGGTTTCATTTGAATTTTAGTTCACCATCAGAAAACACAATGCTCCCCCTAATCCAATTGATCTTCACTAGATTTCTTCTCTCTCTTAATGGGAATCCTCATTCAGACTCAGTGCACTCTAAGTACTCCGTGTGTAAGAAAGAGAACATTATTGCAGCAGCCATTAAATCTCTGTTGTCTGTACACCGTCATGAGAGAAGTGTACTATACGTATTTTGGTGGCAGACAGATTTGGCAGAGCATCCTTAGGGCCATAAAACATCTTGACACCCATTCATGTGGCTGATCTTCTTCAACACCACCTCATTGAGAAGACCATTGTCTGAGTCAATGGGAAATCAATGCAAGTTAGAAAGCATGTACGATTACAATTCTGTCCAAATTCAATCACTGTTGAGGAAACGATTTACCACACTTAAGGGGTGTGAGAATGTCCTGAGTAAAAGTAAATCTTTAGGCTTCAGATAGGAGCTGAGGAAAGTAACACCTAACTTTTGGAGCTTAGGAAGTAATTTTAGGACATTTTGTCAAATACCCAAATTGTTAAAGTGGTAGCAGACTTAGTGTAATATATTTGTGTTAAAAATACAGTGATAAATAAAGGGCTAGCATTCCTTTCTGTGCCAGAGTTTCAAACTAAGAATATCTTGTTGAGAGAAGATTGATATAGAAATTTTGATTAAACCTTCAACCTTAAAGTCCATCATTATAGTCACAAGTGCTCTTAAGGGGTAATTACTGTTCTTGAATATGATAGTTCTATGTTTTTTCACATTCGGGCCATGTAAGTAATAATAAAAACTTAAATAAACAGATCAGTCAAGGAAACATCTGCACAGAGTCAGTGATTGCAGAAGGCTGATGAGATCATGCCAGGGATCGGGCTCAGGCAGGAGTGTGGTGCTTGGTGTGCTCTTCCTCTCTTTCGTCTTGTAAAACTTATAATGGATCTCACGTCCTCGTCAAAGCCCTCACTCTGTCTCGGACTGTTCTTCTTCTCCATCTCTGCATCTTTCTGAGAAGGTTCTGACTCCTCAGTTCCATCCATTTCTGGGTCCGTGACTCCATCCCCCACCTCAAACTGAAGTTGAAGCTTTATGTTTAAAAATCGCCACACTGTTGTGACTTAAAAACACTTAATAAGACCAATGAACAAACACTCAGAGACACAAATAAACATATTATTGTCCATCTTGTTCAGTCAATAATACAAATAATAGTTTGTTAAACAACCATTTCTTTAACTGTAGCTCTAAAAGTTAATGATTATTTTTATCTGAAAATCCATGCTGTGGACCTGCTCTTGACTCACACACCATGTTGTTTTTCTTCTAATTATGTAAGTAACATGTCCATGTTGGTGAGCCATCCAGGAGAGAAAAAGGCACAGAAACATTCTTGTTGATGTTGTGTAATACTTTATATAAAAAAACTAAAAAAACACTTTATGTTTGTTTGTGTAGACGTTCAGAGCATCAGTTTGGGCGTCTAAGTCAACTAATGATAAGTGGCCGATAATTCTTAGCTTGTAGATGTAAGGATGGTACCATTTGCTGTTTGTGTCTGTTTCCCTAGTGTTTCCTCATCAGTTTAATTGGTGCCACCTTTGTCTCGTCACAGCTGTTGTAATCACGTCTTGTCTTGTCCTTGTATAAAAGCTGTCTGTTCTGTGTTGTTCCTCGTCGGGTCGTATTCGTTGGGTCTCTGCGTTCTCCTGTGTTCTCCTGCGTTCTCCTGCGTCTCCCCTGAGCTCCCTGAGTTTCCCTCTGAGCCTTCCATCTATTTGTAAGTTTTGCTGCCACGTCAGCTATTATTTTGTTCTTTATTTACTATTAAAAAATACTTATTTTTGTAATCTGCCGAGTTGAGTCCTGTCTGCACAATTGGGTTCGTTCCTGTCCACAAAATCCTGACATTAGAAATATTTCACATTGTATTAAGATTCTGTGGAATGTTTATGATCAGTTCAGTTAATAGCTTAACTCTTGGAATGACTTCAGTTTGGAGAAATATAATTTAGTTCTAACTGGACTGATGAGCTAACAGCTAGTCCAAGTGGAACCAAGACTAAAGTACCCTCCTTAAACAATTACAGTCTCAATAAAGCCAAAGCATTTGTGGGAACACTGTTTTATAAAATTATTACATTGCTGTAAGTTTAGTGTTGCTTGGATATTTACATAAAATTAGGTTTGTTTCTTTTTGAGGTCGATTTTTGCAAGAATATACTTTTTCTGCTGGAATAAATGTGCAATGCAAAACTGGCTGTGGTTTAAAGGTTAAAAAAATTACTGTTTTTGCTTGAGTTGCTCTGAAATTTTGGTATAAGAAATGCCAAAATTTGCTTTTCTTTGTATTGTTTGTCTATTCAGACGTGCAATTTAATTTGTCAATCCATCCATCCATCCATCCACCCATCCATCCACCCATCCATCCATTTTTTAATAAAGTCAATTGGACTGTCTTTTCGACATTTTGATCCTGTTATTTTGACAAACTAGTGCTGTTGTTTTGATACGTGATGTAATGTGAATAACACACATCAAATATTTCACTTGTGTTTATTTATATATTTTTTTTACTGTAAGCTTTTTTATTATGTCTGAAATGTTATGCACTGTGGTAATGTATGTAGGAGTTCTGACACAGCAGTTGTGCGCGCATCCTGCAGAGCTGTCTGGAGACGCAGTGCGTAAAACAACAGTCTGCAGGGTGCACATCTGAAGGTGGATGAAGACACTCCCCGCGGGACATGCAGTCCACGTCTCTGCTAGGCAGGAGCGTGTGCGTGAGCTCATGTGTGTAGTGCTGCTGGAACATCCACTTCACAGACTGGGCAACATCTCCTCTTGTTGTATTTTAAATAAATAATCAAAATAAAAATGTGCGATGACTTTGGACTTTTAGGGGCGGAGATTTGAGTTGCTGGATCCGAGCAGTCAAAAGGAGAGAGAGTTCCTGGATCTTGTTCCGACAGGATCCGGCTCAGATTAATCACTGGGTATTTTCTCTGTCCATACGTTCACAAACTTTTTCTTCTTTGGGCCATAACTTCTGATCCTTTCAAGATAATTTAATGAAATTCAAAACACTTATGTATCATCACTGGACAGAGTGTTGCATGCACATTTCATCATGCCAGCTCCAAGGTCAAGGCCACAAATTAAGAAAATTGTTTATTCAAGGTACCGTATTTGACAAGAACCCTTTTTGGATCAGCACAACAACACCAAACTCAGGAATGGTTTAAAAGGTTTATTTTTAGTGCAACTTCTGGTGGAGGTCAGAGTCCAGGTGGGGGTCCAGTCTGTAGAGAGAGACAGGTTAGTGACTATGAAGAGGGCGACGAGTTTTGAGACTTGCTGTGAATAAGTCACTAACTTTCTCAGTCTGGTTGGACAAGAGCTGAAGAAGTGCTGAACCTGGTGACGTCACTTGTGCAGCGAGAGCTACAGCAGGAGAGCGGACCGTGGTGCTGAGCGTGGTCCGTGGAGGGCAGATCCAGAGACAGGGTCCAGTAAACATTGCAGGGGTCATACACAGAAGATCAGAGAGCTGATACCAGAACCAGGACGTGATCCAAAGGCATAGTCGAAGGAGGAGAAAGATAAGGTCAGTACCATGGTCAGATGTAGCAGACAAATCCAGAAAGGGCCAAGCAAGGAGAGGAGTTAAAAATCAAGGCTGAGGTTCATGGTCAGGAGTCAGAACAAGGTATGCTGGATTTTTACTGTCAAAAAGCTTTCAATAATCTGGCACCGAGTGAGAGTTGAGCTGGGCTTAAGAATGGTGCAGGGCAGGTGAACAGGTGAGAGCTGACTGCTGTGACAGGGCAGAGTAGGCGTGGTCCAGGGTGACAGGAGCTGAGGATGGGTGACAAGCAACACTGAACTGAACATGGAGATAGACAATGAGGGGAGCATGGCAAAAAAAAAAAAAAAAAACTGGAAGGAAGGGGGCAAAAATGTGACAGCATTTGCTTTTCTGGGCCATTGTTATAGATTGCTGTATAATAATTTGTCAACGAGTGCATAATGTGTCATGTGTGGCACTCTTGTTTTTAATTTTTGGAGACCAGGTCAAGGCTTATAAATCTACTTTTATCTAAATGTATTTCTTCAATGTATTTCAATCAATTTATTTTTCTCCTAGGGATCACCACTGTGCTTACAATGACAACCATCAACACCCACTTAAGAGAAACGCTCCCTAAGATCCCCTACGTCAAAGCTATAGACATGTACCTGATGGGCTGCTTCGTCTTTGTGTTCCTGGCCCTGCTGGAGTACGCTTTTGTGAACTACATCTTCTTTGGACGAGGACCTCAGATGCAGAAGAAACTGGCTGAGAAGGCACTGAAGACAAACAATGAGCGCAATAAATTTGACAGACCCAAGGTGAGAAGCACTACAAACACAAAGAGGGCAAGAGATGCCATAGATGCATCCTAAGCTCCAAATAAGAAAAATCACCTGGAATGTTACCTGTGTTAAAATTCCATCTTGGAAAGCTGGAAGTCCCCGACTAGCCCGAATCTCAAAATTCAATGTGGCTGCCTTGAAAATGAATCTTGTATTTCTACCATTAGATAGCCGGGATACTGAAACTAAATACACTGCAGGAAATTTTTAAAGAAAATAAAACTTTTAAAAATGTGTCATTTGTAATGCTCTCATGAATATTCCCCAGCAACACACAAAATGAACGTATGATAATGAAAGAAATTTTAAATGTTTTAAAATGTTGACTCTAGATGCTTTATGTTTGCATAGATAGAATAAAAGTTACAGAAGAAAATGCAGTTAGTTTGTGCTCTAGTTTGATTAATGTACTACACAGGCATTTAAAACTAAAAACTAATAGTACAGTACAGTAAGACAAATCAACATGAACTTTATGATGGTTCTTTTTGTGCTGCTTTAACAGCAGATTATTTGGGTCCTGTAAAACAGCCCAGCTGCTGATTCATGTTTGGTGTCACCATCAGTCATTTATTTTATTGCTGCCAACTTGGTGCAGACAGCTTCTTTAAAAAAAAAAAAAAAAGAAAAGTCAGTATGTGAGCAACAACGTTAACTCAACATTTTCAATGTTGGTATCACCTGATTCTATTACATTTCAGGTGTAACAACAAAAACTGTAAAAGGTAGGATTATGACTGATCAAACACCAAAACCATACATTATTTCTACATTGGACATAAACAGGAAATTAAAGGAGAATCTAATTACATTGTTCTATTAACTGTATTTTCTGAAGAAAAATGAAAGCCAATTAAGGGAACACTGACTCTAATGTGATTGATTCTGTGAATCAGACTCTTTAATCATTAGGTCACGCTGTGTTCCTCCCTCTTGTGAAAATAAATGTTGACCACATCCATTTCCATTCTCTTGGCAAAATCCACCACATCTGTCCTTCCTGGTTTCTTTCCTGGGCAGCACAATGGCGCACTTGGTAGAGCTGCTGCCTCTCAGCGAGCAGGTTACACTGGTTCACATCCTGGTCTGGGGGCCTTTCTGGATGGAGTTTGCATGTTCTCTCTGTGCATTTCATGGGTTTTCTCTGGGTACTCTGGTTTCTTCCCACAGACCAAAAACATGCATGTTAGGCTGATTGGTAACTCTAAATTATCCCCATGGTGTGAGTGAGAGAGTGAATTGTTTGTCTCTATGTGTCCCTGTGATGGACTGGAGACCTTTCCAGGGTGTACCATGCCTCTCGCACAGTGACTGCTGGACATGGGTGCCGGCGACCCCCACAACCCAAAAAGGAAGAACTGGGTAAAGATGATGGATGGATGGATGGATGGGTTCTTTCTTTGACACCAAACTACCCATCACTTCCTCATCCCCTCTGTTTCCTTCACCAACATGTCCATTCAGGTCTGCTCCGATCACCACTCTTTCCTCCCTGGGAATACTCTCTATCACTTCATCCAGTTCCTTACAAAAGTTATCTTTCTCCTCCTCATCACATCCAACCTGTGGAGCAAAACCACTGACAATGCTTAGCATCAGACCGTCTACGTCTACCTTCAGGCACATCACCCTATCTGACACTCTTTTCACCTCTACTAAATAAAAACAGTTTCAACCCTGCTCCAATGCTGCGAGCCTTGCCACCCTTCCACTTGGTCTCTTGGACACATAAAACATCTACCTTCCTTCTCTGCATCATGTCAGCCAGTTCTATACTTTGCCCCCACATTTAGAGTTGCTATCCTCAGTCCTACATTCTTGATTCTCCTCTTCTCCCTCTTGTCTCCTCACATTTCCCTCCATGTGATCTTCGACTAATAATCCCAAAGATATATTTGTAATTATTAGGAATACTGTTTCATAATCCTTTACATTGTTGTCTGTTTTGCATCACGTGTAAAATTCTGTGGGGGTTTTTGCAAGAGAAAATAGGTGCAGCAGTGAGGTTCAGCACTTCTGATGCAGCCACGGTCACTTCCAACAGGAATTTAATGCTGTAACGTAGAACTGATAATGAAGTAAAGGTTTAAAATAAGCTTTCTGTGAAGAGCTACAGCTCTTTGGAAATTGGAGTTGCGTTAACGCAGCTTAAATGCCCTTAAGTCTCAGCCCTGCTCAAAGTAGCCATTAGCCTGTTATTCTGGTCGTAATTAAATTAATTTTCTCCACACTGTATTTGTTCAAAGGGCTCTTTACAACAGGTACATACAGTAAGTTGTAAATATCATCACCACAAAATCCCACCTCAAAAGGAATGAATGATTACTTTAACGTAAAGCTTTAAGAGAATGTCTTCAGCTCACATCTGACCAAAACTGAAACTTTGCATTTGTCTTTCTTCTGCTAGTCCCTTCTGGACGGAATCAACTGCAAGTCTTCGTCCCTGAAACAGTCCAATCAGGTGCAGAGTCGTCGTCACTCAAGACGAGTGAGTGTCCTTCACTGCCACATCTGTGTCACATCTGTAAAATCCTTACCGAAACTACATCTGCAATAAAAAAAAGTTATGCTTTATTTTACAAAAAAACGTGTTAGGGTTAACTAATACTGCATTTTCCTGTTGTGTATTAACGTTTTTTTTTTTTTGTCTGTGCGAGTGTTTAATATCCTACATCATACAAGCAATTCCCTTCATCCATAACAGAGCCTGCATTGGTGTTTGAATGTTAGTTTTAAAATTCCTGTAGTTACAATCAGAATATGACCTAAAACATATTTTTTACAAAAACAGTAAAAACAGTTCAAAGTGCCCAAACAAATAACGAGGGACAATGTTTTACAATGTCTTCAATTATTGAAGAGAGTAATGCATTTCTTAAAGCGTGTGCTAAATAAGTTTTCAAGAATTTTAGTCCTTTCTTCTGGACTGAACGGGTTCAGGATTTGGTGAACTTCCTCACAAGAACAGCTCACATCAATTCCTTTCACAACATTTTAGTTGGATTAAGGCCACGAGTCTATATTAATAAATATAACAATTTTCTTTTTTAATTCTTTGGTAGAGTAATGCTTGTGTGAATGGTTGCCCTGTCATTTATTTTAAGTTTCGTTCATGTTAGTCCTTTTACTAATCTCTTATATGATTAGAAACTTAAAGTCTATATATTTTAAAATTTATTCTTGTTTACATTTAGCAAAACAGGCTCAGACAATAATACTACCACCACTATGTCTTAGAGTGGGACTAAGATTTATCTTATGTGAGTCAAAAGCTTCTAATTTGAGATTTATATATATTTAC